AGTTGTACACAGGTGGGAGAAGAAGTACAGAAAGAAGTAGTTGTTACACCACAACACCGGCACGACACTTCTTTCTCTGACGACTTTCAAGTCCTTTTTTATAAGAGAGAGAGAACCAGGACTAGGTAAATATACTTTTTGGACAGCCCTTTTACTCGACTAGTCTAAAACCCGGGTGAAATACTACAGTATTGCTACAAAACAGAACCACAATCGGTACTGGGTTAGGTGGTTGGTTCCATTGGGGGGGGGAGGGGGGAATAGTGGACTTAGAGGAGGATCTCGTGGTAACACAAGAAAATTGGTTTAGAGAGAGTCTCCCCGCACCTCGGGGAATAAAAGTATTTATGTCTGTCTCTTTAGTCGTGAAACCTTTGTCCCGATTTGTCTCCCTAATACAATTACGACGTAACCTAGCCAAACACAAGTCGTTAGTCTCTTACAAAGAATATATAGACTCTGATATTATATAGAATTTTTTTTCAATTGACCAACACCAAACACAAGACCACATATTTTCTCCCACTTATTATTACTATATGTTCGACTACGTATGAGTCACTATGGTTTCATGAGTGCGTTAGAGATAGAACGCAGCACCGATATTAATTATTGTAGAATTAATTCTAGTCGGAACGGTACACGGAGAGGCAGAGCAAGGTCACTATATAAGACTAAAGTTGTGTAAATAAGAGAGATCAAACAAAGGAGAGGTCAAACACCAATAAAAACTGTTAAAGGATTTTCATTGAGAGTCGAGGAGCCACGACACATCTCCTTTCACTGTTTGTGTCTTTGGATTTTCACTTTATTGTGAATGCTGTCCTACAAGGTGTGTATTGGTGCTCTTTAGTGTTTCCGCATCCGCCTCCAACCAAAAATGATAGTTCCACTTTTACAAGACGGAGAAGACACATTCTAACATTTACTACAGAGGCCACCTAACACACACACCCACACACACCTGCACAGAGTGGATTCCACTTACTTATATTATATGTATCTGTTTTTTATGTCGCTCCAGAAAGCTCAATTGCAGCTCACTCTTTAAACACACACCATCTTATTCTACAACTCAGTTATATCATATCATCAGCGTACTCACTTAACACGCACCAACCTATCTTACATCTATCAAAAAACATGAAGAAGAGGGGACACATGTTGATGTAGCAGAGACATGAAGAAGAGGGGACACATGTTGATGTAGAGGAGACATGAAAAAGTGGATTTTGCATAATAGGTGACCCCTATTCATATCTTACACTGCACTGTAACTTTCATTCATGTATTTTTTCTTTTAATGTTTATTTTTATTATCTTTGCCTTTTAATGACTTTTTTTAAATGCTATTTTTTGAATGTCTTTCATTTTTGTAAAGCACTTTGAATGTACTACTTGCCTTGCCTCTAATATTAGATATGATTACTTCTTCTTCTCTTGTTTTCAGTGTGTGTAGCGTTGTTACCTGCAGTGCACCACCACCGGCCCCCCGTCAGGAGGGGTCGAGGCTTTGACGCGGCGCAGGAAGGCCAGCAGCCCGGTGGCGTGATACGGGACGCCGTGCTCCGGCCACGACGTGAAGTGGAACTGACACACCTCGTGTTTGGCCGGGTATCCTCTCTGCAAGACACACAAGCACATGTGAGGAGATGCTTTTATTTTGAATAACAAATGTATTTCTATGGAGACCGAGCCTTCTGCTCCGCTGCTCCGAGACTGTGGAAACCAGCTGAGGACACCACAGACTGTGAATGCTTTTAAAAAAGGCCTAAAAAAGCATATTTTTAAAATAGCCTTTTACTAGATTTATAAAACCCCCACTTGTTGCCATGCCAGCGTAAATGCCAGGGCTTTTATTCTGTTGTTTTATTTGTTTTGTTGTTTTGTTTCAACGATTTTATTTTGTAGCACTTTCAGTTTTGTTTACTCAAATGAAAAGTGTGCTTTAATTTAATTAATTAATTAAAAAAATTGAGCAAAAAAAAGATATATATTTTAATTATTTAGTTTTTGGGAGAAGGGTTTAAATCAGTGTAAACCCCTTTTCGGATGTGTAATTAGGTAGATCATCCCTTTATATATTTGTAAGTCAGTAATATTTTTGTTTATCAATTTCATTATTATTATAATTATTTTGTATTATTGTTTTACACATTCAAAAATAAATCAGATCAAATCAAGAATTTCTTTACCGTGTTGCAAAAAACGGCGATTGAGCGAAGTATTGTCAACATCAATTTGGCCGTGGTCCAAGTTTTCTGATTGAAATGAGTCGTGATTTGAAATGCGTACTGATAAATGTGCTGTTTTATTATAATGATCAGTGTTTGACCTGTCTCTATTTAATGTTTAAGTGTTGATGGTTGTGTGTGCTTTCTCAGAGACTACAGATGGAAATAAGCTAGGGGCTACATTTGGCATAAATATTGTGTTCTGTTTTGAGCATGTCGTTTTTGATGTCTTGTTCTTATTTAATAAACACTAAAAAGGAATACAATTTTGAAGATATATTAAAATCACATTATATTCTACCTCATTGAATACCTTATTAAATCATATTTATAATAACATTTTCGTTTTGTAAAATATTAGATATGTTTTCCTTTTTGTACCTCAGACAGTTATTCCACTAGTTTTGACTTTAAGTTCCATTATGTTAAAAAGTGTATTCAATGTTTTGAATGCAACATGTAGGAACTTAAGATGCAAAATAAATCCAATATTTCACTTTTAAATGTAGGGGATTAGAAGTATTAGGTAGCATGAAATGGAAACCTCAAGTAAAGTACCTCAAAATGGTTCTTAAGTACTGTACTGTATATAGGCGCTTTCACACCAAGTACTTTGCCGTACTTAGTTCATCAGAACTCTTTAGTTCTGATTAACTAAGTACAGATCGCGTTCACACTGGAATAAGTCCCTGAGGTAGGGTAAGGCAAATGAAGCCGCTGACGTCACTTCTTCTTCTTCTGCTGCTTTGGGTTTACTGGCAGGCCGCAAACAACTTCACGGCGTATACTGCCACCCGAAGTCCCCGGCCGGAAGTCCCCGGAGTTGGGACTGGCTTCAGTAGAAGCTGCTGGGACTCCCAGCAGCTTCTACTGAAGCCTTCTGAGTAAATCGCCAGAACGCCGACACCTCCTCATCTCCACCGCTCCCATGTTTTATTTTGTGTTGCCATAAATTAGTCTCTCTCCGTTGGTGCGCGGGGCTAATGCTAATGCTAATAATGCTAATGCGAGGAAAATAAAATGGCGGCTTCACAACTCTTTTTGGGAGTTTTACGGGGCGTGGTTTGCAATCCGCCCAGCCAATCAGAAATGGGAACCTTTTTCTCAGGGACTGAAAAGGGGGTGGAAAGCTTCTCATGAACTAAGTTTTAGTTCCGTTTTTTTTTGGTGTGAACGCAAATTTTCGGAACTATACTGGGAAAAGTACTCCGGTGTGAAAGCACCTTATGTATCTAGTCATTTCCACAATTGATTATAATATAATGTTTTATGACGACGCATTCTGAAATCGGCTCAAAACAAAGTGTATAGTATAATAATAATAATAATAATAATAATAGTGTTCCTCACCCTTTCCATGGCGAAGGTGCGCACCGTGTACTCGGCCAGCGTCTCGGTCTTCAGCAGCGTGATCTTAATGTCTCCGTACAGCTCTGTGTCGTCCGGCCAGTACTTACAGCACTTCATCTGAAACACAACCAAGAGTTCAGACACACACACACACTGCTTCACACACACTGCTTCACACACACCCAACAGGAAGACACACTGTTAAGCTCTCATCCTGTGTGACGTTTTCTTAATATTTACCAAATTTTCCACCGTCAGATTTGACACCAAAAGAGACACCGAGGTAAGATAAGCGTTTTTTCCTTTCTCTGTCTGTTAAAATACAGACAAACCTTTACTTTTAGGTTTCAAAGTGAATGGATATTTTATATTTCAGTGTCTTTGCAGTACTGCTTCAGGCTGTGGACTCATTTTAAGATCTAAAAATGTATATTTTCCAGACCTACAAAGCCTGGGAAGAGTCTTTAGGAAGAATAACATCACTTAATTTCTTTACCCTAAGACTTTCCTCTGTTTTTGTGTTCAATCCTCTCTGGAGTGACTTTAAAACATATTAAGCTGTTTGTTGATTTATTTACCCCCATTATTATTATTATTATTATTATTATTATTATTATTATTATTATTATACATTTTCTTTAGTAAACATTCATTTTTATTTTATTTATTTCTATTTTCACAAGTTGACATATTGTTTCAAGCCATTTATTAATTTTGTTTTATTTTATTCTTTTTGTATTATCATTATTAACTGTATTCATAGTTTTAATGTATCTTGAAATGTTAGTAAACTAGAATGTGTTTTCAATAAAAGGTTTAAAAATAAAAATACACTTCTTTCTAAGTATTAAATACCCGCTAAAAAATAAAACTGACGAATAAAAAAAAAGTACGTACTCCCATAAAACACAGTATACAGGTGGAGTGCGTATATTAAACCCTGTAATTCATATTTTAAGCATTTCTGTGGCGCCTTAATTGTTCACATTGTATACGTTTAATGTTCAGTGCATGCTTCACTCATCATATCACACACTATATATAAACTGGTGTAACAATGGCCTCCTGTAAACAGTTGTGACCTTGCAGCTCACTAGTGTTCCTCCCACGACTCAGAACAGCAGCAGCTCCTCTCAGATACATCGGAAATAATAGGGGGCTCCACAAACACACCTCCATGCCTGTTTTTAAATCTCGTTTAAAGACCTACTTGTTCTCCCGTGCTTTTGCAGACCACATATAAGTCGTATCAGTCTGTGTTTCTAAATTGGGGTTTTCTATTTTGTTGTGTTTTAAAATGTTTTTACATCATGTATGAGGGTTTCCAGTCTGTGGCTACAACTATGCTTTTATTGTCTCGTGCTTTTACATTAGTTTCTTTTTAGTCCGGTTTTGTCTAAATGTATTTATGCTGCTTTTTTATATGTATTGATGTACAGCACTTTGGTCGACTCTGTTGTTTTTAACACTAGAACCGCCAGAGGTCGCTGTATACCTAAAACCGCCAACGGGTAAAATGTACCCGCTATTGATTTTCAAGGTACAATGTTTTTTTATTTATCATACAGAACAGTGAGTTTTGATCGCACAGGGATGAAACTTATACCAATAGAATCTGTGGACTCTCAGCTTTTCATATGATATAGGTTGTGCAGATAGCATGAAGTTTAAAATATCGCTAAGAGTGCTGATTTAAACGCTTGGTGTTAGACTTGTGTTTTGTTTAGGTACAAATCTCTTTATCTCTCTCTATCGATCTATCTGTAATGTTCTGTTCTATGAACATCTAATTGTCTACATAAATAGACGACGCGGACTACTTCTCTCATTCCGAGTGTCCATCTTTCTTCAACTGGCACGTAACCTGCACACATGCATTACGTCCTCAACGTGAGCTCAGTCATCCAAGATCTTGTATTCTCCAAGATGTTACACTATCTATAACTATCTGTCTATCTCTCTCTCTATCCATCTATCAATATATCTATCTATCTATCTCTCTCTCTCTCAATCTATCTATCTCTCTATCTATAAGGAACCGCAGTAGACAAAAGGCGTTGCTATAGCAACACGTCATGTTTACGCTGCATTTTCTATGAGGTAGATATTACCCGCTGGGGGATATAGGTATAAATGGCATTTTTTTTGGCTATTTTTTCAATCTGACTTCATATTGACAATTGTTAACAACAGAGGGTGCTACATAACACACTTTCAGGAAAAGTCACGGACTGGGAGACTTTAATATGTTATTGAACAAAAGTTACATACAATCAAAGAACAGCTGCGGGTCAAATGTACCCGTTGGCGGTTCTAGTGTTAAATGTGCTATATGAATAAAGTTGGATTGAATGTGGTCCTTGGTCTTGGAATGACCTTCAATCAAACCTAAAACTGAGGGCACTTGTCCCTATAGCCTGTTTTAAATTGAAGTTGTCTGAAGTCCTTACCACCAGCTGCTCTTGCAGTAATAAGTAGTGTTTCTTACTGTCCCAAATGTGCA